CCGCTGTAACATATCTTGTAAAGTTGGTCTGGTTTTTACAAATTCCCTGTATTTCTGTTTATCTGGAAATGTCCTAATTTGACCATCATATTTGAGGGATAATTTTGCTGGATATATAATTCTTGGTTGGCAGTTGTTTTTCTTTCATGGTTTTATAGATGTCATCTCATTGCCTTCTTGCCTGCATGGTGTCTGTTGAGCAATCAGAGCTTAGTGATCTTTCGTTTTTCCTGAGCTGCTTTCAAGATTCTTTGTCTTTGGTTTGGGAAAATTTGATTATATCTCGGTGTTTTTTTTTTTCGGATCTATCCTGCATGGTGTTTGCTGTGCTTCCTAGATGGTTATCGTCTCATCTTTTGTAATATTAGGGAAGTTTCTGTCAGCAAATCTTTAACAATTCTCTCTGTGATTTTTGTTGTCTTCTTCCCTTCTGTGATTCTGATCACATGTCAATTATTCCTCTTGATAGTGTCCCACATAACTCTTAGGCTTTCTTCATTTTTTTTTTTTTTTGATTGTTCCTCAAATAGATTAGTGTCAAGGGATTTCTCTTCTATTTCACTGATCCTGTCTTCCACTGTTTTGATTCTACTCCTATGACTTTCCATTGAGTTGTCTATTTCTGAAATTTTATTAAGTTTCGGGATTTCTTTTTGCTGTTTTTGTATGGTTTCCAATTGTTTTTGTTCTTGTATTGTTTTCCTGAATTATTCTAGCATTTTTGTCTGTGCTTTCCTTGGTTTTGTCTGTTTTCCTTGATTCCTTTGAGGATCCTATACGTAAGTCTTTCGAATTCCTTGTCAGGTAGCTCCATTACCTTTTCTTCCTCAGGTAGGTTTTTGGTTCTTTATTTTGGTCACCTGCTGGGGCCATCTTGCTCTGCTTCTTTAGATTGTGATGTCTGTTGTCTCTGGGACATTAAGGGGTTATTGTGTTTATTTTTTAGTTGTATAATTGTTTGCTGGGTCCTGTTTTTTTTTTTTTCCCCCCCTTTTTGATGATTCCTGGCAGGGATGGCTGGCACGGTGCTCTGGTCACTGGACTGGCCATGCTGGAGCATTCCCTGTCTCTGGCCAAATGGGGCAGTGGGTAGGTGTGGGAGCTCAGGTCTCTGTTTACTGGTCTTGCAGGGCGTCTGAAGGTGGGTCAGTTGGGCTTTGGCCTCTGTCTTGGGTTCGTTGGCACAGGAGAGGGGAGTGGTGCCCTCTGTGCAGGTAGAGTGGCCTGTGTGGTGATGCAGCGGGTCAGTGGGGGCATGGTCATCCCCTCACCAGTTGAGGGGGGAGGCGTGTGTGGTTGAGGGGGCCGGTGGGTGGATGTGCTTGCAGTCTTGCTACCTCTGCCTCCTCCTGCACAGTGGGAGGGAGGAAAGAATGGCAGGTGGACATGTGCTCAGCATGCTGTATCCACCTGTTGGTGGGCAGGGAGAGGAAAGTGCAGCAGGTGGATGTGCACGCACCTGTGTCACTTCCACCTAGTGTTCGGCAGAAAGAGGGAGGAAAGGGCCTCAGGGTGTATGCACATGCAGTCATGATATCTCCCCCTTTGCTGGGCAGGGTGAGGGATGGAAGCGCATCAGGCAGATACATTGGCAGTTGCGCCACCTCCACGCCAGGTGGGGAGGGTGAGAAAGGGATGGCTGGGGGATGTGCACGCACCCTTGGTACTTCCACCTCTTGCTGCGTGGGGGGAAGGAGGGAGTCACGCTGGCCGTATGTGCATGCAGTGTTGCCTCCTCTGCCCCTCACTGGGAGAGAAAAGGGAGTGACAGGCAGGCTCTCTTGCTGTCTCGCCACTGACCCCCACTGGGCCCTTGGGGAGGGGTTTAGGTGGCGAGTGGGCACATGCATGGGGGTGCACCTAGTCCCACTTGTCAGGTGGGCAAGTGGGGTAGTGGACGGGATGGGTGGGGTAGGGGTGATAAGGAGAGGCTCGTATTGTGGTCTCTTGGTCAGGTGAGGCATTTGGGGTATGGGACCCTTTGCTGCCTCTGATCAGGGGAATGAGGTGAGGGGGGAGTACATCTCTTTGGCTAGGATATGCAAGTGCTGGGGCACCTCACCTCTGCTACAGCCAGCGAGTGGGACCTGTCCCTGCTTGAGTGTGAGAAGGTGGGGGGGCAGCCCAGGCACTGGTTGGGTGGAAGACCTCCCAGTGACACTCCCTGGGTCCACTGCCTCCCGTGCATCACTCACCTCTGAGGTCAGGGGCCACTGCTTCTGAGCATCTCCAGTTCTGGATCCTGGCTCCCTCTCTGCCTCTGCTTCTGTATTTCTAGAGTTTCTCTGTCCCTTTTGGGAAAGACGTGAAGTTGCCTTGCTCTTCCCTTCCCTGGGGTTGCTTCTGGCTTTGTCCTAAGATGGCTGCGTTGGGTCAGGATGGCTGGCTGAACTACTCCATTTGATGTTACTCCTCGTTAGCTGCGTTCCCTCACTTTTTCCTTCCAGTTGGTGTTCAGTTCATCCTTAGACCTTCTTTTTTGATGTTCAGGGTTCTCAGATTGTTATCTGCTTCTGTTTCGCTTAGTTTTTTTGGGTCTTTGGTGCAGGGGCACGCTATGGTGCATGTGATTAAGCTGCCATCTTAGCTCCACCTCATCCTATACCTTTTTAAAAGGACTCTTTTATTGGAAAACAAATTAGCCAAATGTTGGTGCTGATTTTTATCTTCTATATTATTTAAGCTATGATCTTTACTCTGTCTTCTCAGAGAGCTTCTTACATTTTTCTTCCATATCACTGATACATTTTTCTCCAGTATTATTAATTCTATTCTTTAAGGCCTCTCTATTTCAGGCAAGTCTTTAGTCCAGATAGGAGTGAGGTTCTACTATACTCCATCCAAAGAGAGCATATATCGAAGCCTAATGCATTATCACTTCAATTTTGTAGCTTTTTAGGTACCTGGCTAGACTGTGCATGTGAGATTTTAGGTATCTGAGGAGAGACCAGTATTTCCCAAATTTCCACTAACAACAAAGAAGAACAACTCAGTTCACTGAAAACCTCCATGCCTCGTCAATGACAGAATTTGGGGAGACTTGCCAATAACCAGGAGAGTTCGCTAGATTTAGGAAAAAGCTTAGGCATTACATTTTGAATGATACCAACAGGGAAAAAAAGTAGGAAGAGAGTTTATATTTCTTCTTATTCTGTGTTCCATGACTTCAAATATACAGGATACCCTGAAGACTGGGCAGTTAGTGAAAATTAATCATTGAACAAGTAACAAAGACTCAGAAAGGAGGCTTTCAGTTGGGTTAAAGAAAAATTATTCTCTTTTCTATGGGAGCTTCTGCCAATTTGGCCCAGTTTTGGCTTCTGAAATTCCTGATGTATCCCTGGTGGCATGGAGTAAGTTATCCCTGCCATGCAAGGCCAAGTGGGAGCCTTGTGACTGTTGGCTCTGAACATAGCTACAACTAATAATAGCAGTAAGTTATTTTGTGTGATGTACCTCTTCTAGCATTACTGAAGTCTTCATAAAGTCATGATAAAACATATAGCTTGAGTTCTGTTGTGCTGTGCAGAATTAAGTAATAGCTGCGCCCTGCAAATGGAAGGGGAAAGAAAGGGGAGAGCAGTGTCTTCTTCCTCAAGTCTTAATTGGAGGTAGTGGTGGCTCTCCTATGTGTAGGGCAGCTGTAATTTCATGAAGATGACCAATTTAGAGTCAGCAATGTGGGGCAAGAGGAGGAGCACGAGCCTGAGGAACCTATTGGTTGCCCTTAGTGAGAAAGCACCTTAGGGCACTCTCAGAAAGAGCAAAGGACACTTGAGAATAATTTTCAGCCATAACCATTGGCTGGAAGCCATGGCAGTTTAGTTAGTAAAATAAATGTGACCTGAATTTGTAGTCAAAATCTGGTGAGGACAGGGTATTTGGCTTATGTGTAAATGGTACTTCTAAAAGTGTCCAAGGCTAAAACCTTTTGTTCTCTGAAGTATGTAACAATTTTAGATATTCTTTCTAATTTCTTTAGAAAACATTCCTTCATAAGTAACTAAAAGGTAAACCAGTCCATGCCTGAGTGGAAAGATCACAGTTTCTAAATTTGTGGAGTCCTAAAACAATGGAACCCTGGTGGCGCGGTGGTTATAAGTATTCAGCTGCTAACTGAAAGACTGGCAGTTAGAATCCACCAGCTGCTTGTTGGAAACCCTATGGAGCTGTTCTACTCTGTCCTATAGGGTCTCTTATGAACCAGAATTCACTGATAGCAATAGGTTTGGTTTTATTTTGAAAACGAAAAAAAAAAAAAAAAGGGGGGAGAGTGAGCATGTGCATTAAACCTCAGTGAGCACAGCCCTGGAAATGTTATGACTTGTTGGAGATTTGTTGGAGATGTTCTTCCTAAATCAGTTTATGAGGGAAGCTAAAGCTATAGAATGTTTGCTTTACCTTTGTATTAATGCAACTTCTTATGTGTATTTCTATTTTGTACAAATGGCATATAATGAGGCAAGATATTTAGTGTTGAGGTTATTGGACTGGAAGCAAAGAGACAGATTAAGTCACTGACTAAATATGAAATCATGGACAAGTCATTTAACATTTCTGGGCCACTATGTTTTCAACTATAAGAGTGAAGGCAACGGACAGGGTTGTTTCTAAGGCCCTTTCTAGTTTTAATATTCTGGCTAAAATAGAAACCATGTCAAATAAATCATCTTCTCAGAAAGATCAACTAAATTCTAAGTTTAAAGACACAAACCTTATCTTAGATTCACGTATTCCCTAAGGAACATCATGTATTTCCTTACACATAGCTGGTAGTCAAGAAAATCTGTTGGTGACATTCAAATTGTTTATGTGACTGTCTTCTCAAATAATTAGATGGGCTGAGTTATTTATAAGGCCCTTTCTATGCTTAAAATATAAATCAGGCCAAATAAATGAGTGTAGCTAGATAGGTCAATGAGATTTTAAATTCAAGGATAAAAGTCTTGTTTTTGATTCACATATTCCTTAGAAACCTCATATAATTCCTTCCATGGCAGGTGTTCAAGGAAATATCTCTGTATTATAGTTATTTGATTTCTCAAGTGAATTTTTCAACGTTGTAACACTGAGTTATTTTCAAAACTAATTAGTAATCATAATGTCTCTATTCTTACTATCTAAATCTCTTATAAAAATGTAAGAATAAATAGGAAATGAGTAAGTGAGCAAAAGATTCTATTTTAGTTTTCCTTCACGCGCTTGATAATTAGCTCTTCCATAGTTTAGATCCCAAATTTCATGACTAATAAAAGTTAAAAACCTACTAATCTTGTTTCATTTATATTAGTTATTCCAGGTTTTCTTTATGAAAATCAGAAAAACATGAATTCAAATTGCTAAAGAGACTATAGTTACAGATAACGTAATTTACGGCATATGTTCCATTGTTAATTGAAAACGGATAGTTAGTAACTTTGGGAAGGAACCCTACAGGGATAAAAAATGTGAAAACTTCAAAGGTAGCATATATCACATGAAATACTCAAATTTACAAGCGGGAAAAAAGAGCAGAAAATACACAACTCACGTGCACCATATATAAGCATGTAACTACTAATAAAATGCATTAAATACAAACACATGACTTTTACTCATTCATTTGTACTTTGTTTCTTTTTAACAGAAATTAAATTAGTCACTTAATATACATAATGTAGTGTTTGTTTTCCAGTCTAGGAACTTTTCAATATTCACTTTCGAGTCTCTTGGGAAATGAAATTCAGCATCAAGATGTGGTTTGATGAGAGGGCAGTGTCAACATCAACTGTACTTAACACAAGACAGAAGGGGTTGGAGTTAATCTGAAGCTAACAACGTGGAGAAATAAAGAAACAGACCTACAATAGTATTAACATGCATTATTAGGTCAAGATTCAAAGTTAATCCAACCCACACAGATTTCTTCTACGCAGAGAGTACACGTGTAAGGGGTGACTTTATCGAGATCCATAGCCATAGTAGTAAGGTTCATCAGGGCGGAATCCATAAGCTGTAGTAGGGCGTCCAAGAATGCCAACCGATTGGCCAAAGCCATCCATTCCAAGGCTAAAAAGAGAAAAAGGCATTATAAGTTATGTTTTTATTATACATCTATAATGTAGGTTAAGTAGAAGGCCTGAGTTTTACACACCCATGATTCTCTTCCTAGCAGTGGTAGTGAATTCTGTGGATATTAAACCCTTTTCTTAAGTAAATGTAGCCATAAAAATGTGTATAATAAAATATTTACTTCTAACATGTATATTAAAAGTGTTGGAAACCTCTGTCAGCAGGCACTGTTCAAGACACAGTGTAAGAATCAGATCAGAAAAATTTTATTTAATAAATTACATTTACATATGGCTCTTACATCAGAATATGAAGAAACACATTGCTAGGGAATAATAACAATATTATTCTGGAGCAAAACTGTAGTAAACAGCTTTGCTAATTTATAATATTAGCATGTCCTTTTTATATGAAGATATAGGACTAATCCACTATTTCTAGGGACATGTAATTTAAGTTTTAGCAGTAAACTCTCATCCCATGGCCAAATCAAACCACCAGGCTATGATTGAAAGAAAAAGACAAGGTATTCTCCAAAATGTGTAAGTTAGCTAGGATGCATTTGCAGATCCTACTGATTCCTCAGAGTAAAACATTACTACACAGTACACGTTTCTTTCAAGTGACACTGAGACATTGCAAATTTTGGTTCACCTTATTCTATGGAAATAAGGGAAGCCCAAACATAACCTGCTTTCATCTAATAAAATGTTTCTAGTCTATCAGAGAGTTATAAAGATAGCTTGAAGTATGGGTAAACTGTAATAATTACTTTTCAAAAAATTATTCTTTGGTCTATAAATAAATTATCTAGAAGAAAATCTGTTCTCCAAAGCACTTTTAAGGATCATGGAATTATCCAACACTCAGGAAAATGACAAAATATGTATGTACCTTGCCAGGCAAATACGGCAGCTATAACATGCTCATGCATAACTCATGCAGTGAATGCTAGTGAGCTTATCTCCAATCAAAGAAAACCATTTATAATGCAGAAATGTAAGCTTTGGAAAAAATAAATGTATTTAAATGATTTGCTATTTGAGATTGCACTAGATGGAAAGACACTTTTCTCTTTACCAGCAGAATCTCAATATGATTAAAAAGTATACGCTCATGGTCACTAACTTCTCACAACTCAAAGTGAGATTAAGGTAAAACACTTTAGAAGGAACTATTAAAATGTTAAGGTTTTGAATAATTTGTGTGTGGTGCGTGTGTGTGGATTGGGGTAAAACTAAAAGTAAATGTAAAGAATCACAATATATCTACAGCATGTTGTTCACGTGAATCTACCTCTCAGGGAAACGAAGTTTCTGGGATACAAGTTTCAGGTTAGCATTTTTACCAGTAGACTTGGAAAAATCAATCTTTTTGTGCTCCTTCTATATCAAAAACTCTATGTATAATTTTTAAAAGTTGGCTGAAATTTTTAAGTCTGAATTTTATTTTGAAATGGTAAAAAATAAGCACCTCCCTCCCTTTTTGGTCGCATGGGAAGAGAGGGAGATTAAATTTTAGGATGAAGACAGTAAGGAAATATTCTAGAAATGCCTTTAACGATGTTTCAAAAATTAATGAGATAAGATATACCTGTTTCATTTTAACATTTGAGGAAAAGTTGGTGTTGATATTGTTTCTCCTAAAGCACTAAAAGTAAGGTTAATAAATATGTCTCTAAAAATGACTCTTAAGTATTTTAGGATTGATTATATATAGCTTGTGGATTTCAACTCCTTTTTTCTTATAACCTGCCTTCGGTCACTCCCTACATTTTTACACCTCTCTCTGAGGTGGAACAGCAGCAGATTTATGCTAAGTGCAAGTCAATTTGGTCCTTGTTTGTCCTCTAGGGGCTATGTGAGATCTCTTTGAAGAACCTGGAAAAAGAGGCACATAGTGGATCAGGGAAGAAATATATAAAGGTACCTTCAAAACAGAACAACTCAGAGAGGACCTTATAGTAATATGACTGTGATTCTATCTGAAAGATGATGACGATTATCAGAAGGGAGTCTGTCAACCAAGATGGCACAGAACAAGTAGCTTCTCAGAGGCAATGTTGGTAGTACCAACCCAAGCATTCCTTGGGGAGATGGTGACCTATAATACCATCAGGAGTTATCTGACCTTTTTGCTAGGTTTATCCGAACTGAGGAAGGGGACTTAACAAGTTCACGGAGTCTGAAACCATTATACATCCAAACTGTATAACTCTCTTTTTAATTTCTATGATCAATAGGCAAACTTTGATTATTTCTTCCCATGTGGCTTACCAACAGGGTAAAAAATAAGCTTAGATATAATCTGGTCTGTCTGATGGTTATACATTACAATGTAAATTAACAAATGGATATTCTAATTTTTAATTTTTTAAATATGCTAATCACGGTAAGAATCAACACAGCCCCGCCAGTGAAAGTAAGACTGACACTGGAACACTGGTAAGTCTGAGTTTCTGAGCCTCTGAGGCTCAGGTCTCGACCAATCTTGAGATTACTATGGTAAAGATTTATTTATCTAGTTGGCAGTTCAACCAGAGACACCTATGTGTAATACAGTGTACAGACATGGTTTAGTTTTTGAACTACCATAGATACCACTAGAGAAAAATTTTCAAGGGTGAAAATTTGAAACCAACAGCTAAAATGAATGTTTCTGGAATTATCCATCATGTATCACAGACGAACTTGTTGTTTAAAAAAGAATATTTGAAACATTATGGCCAATTTGGAGGGTACTGTGTGATATAGGTCCTAGGTCCTTCTGTATTATGAAAAATCAACTACATCCATACAATTAATATCTTAAAAAGTTGACTCTAAAACAAAATGTATATTTCTTTAAAATCGCTCATCTGATTACTAATATAGTGGGAAAATTGTTTTTTTCAGGATGCTAAAACCTGGAGACAGATATTCTTTTGGGACACATGGACATTTACTCTACTTTCTCTTTTGGGATAAGGACCCAGCCTTGCTAATGTTGAGTCTAATAGGAAGTATTCCTTTAAATAAAAGCATATAGATTCTTCATGTAAATTCTTCTGGAAGGGGACAGAAACCATGAATATAAAAAAGCAGTGTCATAGCAAAAACTGTGCTATCCTGATCCAGTAGAACTCAATTAAGATCAGACATTATCACAGGCAGTCGCAGGCCTAATCAGGGACTCTGAGAACCAAGGAAAACTGTGCTGTAATATGCTGCACCTGCTTTTGCCCTGTGTGACCATTCTGCTTCAGATCAGAGTTTGTACATCTGGCTATTTATATCAGAATTTAATCCAACCCTGAACTGTGTATGTCTCTGTATGTCAATATTCTCTTCCTGTTTATTCCTGCTAACCCACATGAAACACTGTATATTCATCCCTCCAGACTAGGATATGCCACTACTATACTACTTTTTTTTTAAAAACAGGACTAATTATTTAGTGTAATTTAACCTTTATCCTCGTATTTTGGACCTTTGAATTAGAAAAACACCAAAATGCAATATCTCTTCTTGAAAATACAGAATTCTAGTCCAAAGAAAATGGTTACTGTTTGTTGTGAACAGATATCTAGGACAGGTAAGGTCAACAAATCGATCTATTAAGTTTTAGTTTCAAGAACAATGATTTCTGTGTACCTAGAAAGAAGGAGGACAAATTCTTAATAGATAAAAAATTTAAATATAAAGTTCAACAACAAATACAAACCATATCTAGAGTTTGTTTTTAAAAAATTTAGAAATCTAATTAGCATTCAGCTAATCATCTCTAACATTTATAAGGCTTCAAACAAAATTTTAACACTATTCATTGGAATTCTAAACTTGAGATGATTCGAAGGAGAAAAGAAAACTCAACATGAAAAGTGGTGCTTCGCATGCAGCACATTACAAGGGGATGGCAGCCAGTAAGGAGTCCTCGGCATTCTCAGGCTCTTACTAAATTTCGGTGCCAGAGTTGACATTCCTGTAGAAAGGGAAGAAAACCACCTACCTCTGGCTGTTTGTGAGGCTTAATTAGTGCATATTTGTAAAGCACTTTGAAATCCTTGGATGAAAAGTGCTGCATAAGTGAAAAGTATCGTTATTTTATTAAAATTAGATAAAAGCAACACAAACCTTTTTCTTCTAAGACATTTCTAAATCAGTAATAATAATGCAGAGCAAATAATGAACATATTAGTGGATGAGAGAGAAAGAGGAGAGAAAATTCAAGCCAAATTCGCTTTTAATAGGCTTACAGAATCTTTGACTTGAAAAAAATTTTAGAAATAATCTTGTTTATACTTCCATTCACAACATTCTTGGCCAGGTCTGTCCAGCTCTTGTCTGAATACCTCCAGGGTTGGAGTGCTCACTACTCTGGCAAGGCAGCTCATTTCATTTATGGATACTTGACAATGGACATGTCAAACTGTTGGAAAGTTATTTATTATGCTGATCTGAACACTAGTTCTATTAGTCTTAGAATATATTCTGGAACCACAGAAGAAGTCGAATTCTTCTTTGACATGACTGCCTCACAGCCCTTTTTTACTCCTCATGGCATGGTCTCCAAGATCTCTACCATCTCATCTGCTTTCTAAAATCACTTTGATTTTCTAGTGTTTATTTTAAAATGAAGAAGCCAAAATTGTCATGATGCTTATGACATGGTCTGAAACCAGTACAGAATATATTGAGATCCTATGATGGCAACGGTGATTATGGCCCTCAACTAACGGAGGCTAAAACTCCATTGATCATAAATGAAAATGTTAAGGAGTCATTATCAAAAAGTTGGCTTATATTGAGTGTGTATGTGTGTGTGTATAATTGTGTGCTTGTCAGACACATAATTTTCACTTATAACTACCATGTTGAATTTTATCTTTTTAGTTTGGGTCTGTCTTTAAAGGTCTATTCTCCTTAAGACAAAATCCTTTATGACAATGTTTACATTTAAAAATAGGGAATAGTGATTCTTATTAATTACCCATCTTTGTGATCCGTAAGATAATACTA